TTTCAGTTATGTTTTCCAAAGGGTGTGCAACCAAATATTAAGTTAAGGGTGCCAATACTTTTGTCCAGCCCATTTTTGGGGTTTTGTGTGACATTATGTCATATTTGCTTTTCTGCCTCTGTTTTATATTTGTTCCAATACATACAAAGGGAATAAACATGTGTATAGCAAAAAGCATGTGTTAATGCAATACCTTTTTTGTGTGAAATACTTGATTTTCAGGAAAAATATCAAGGGTGCCAACAATTTCGGCCATGACTGTATACGCGTGCAGGGCGGCACTGGGGCGCAAAAGCACGTTTTAAAATGGGCTCCGCGCTCCAGATGTTTTCGCGGGCAGGGGGCGTGCGCGCACTCCCGCCCACCCACCCGCGGGTGACACCATTTGATCCCGGAGAGATCAATCATTCGATTTCAGCCAGTCTAGCTGAAATCAGATGATCGTCCCTGTCCTATGTTGACAGTTGCACAGGACAGGATATGATGTCATTCTTCTCTGCCTGGACACATTCAGTTCTAGACAGAGAAGAAGAAATACAAATTGTGAGTAAAACAGCACATACCCACAGTTAGAACACTCTAGGACACATTTAACCCCCTGATCGCCCCCCCCAGTTAACCCCTTCACTGCCCTGTCACCAGTGTCACTGATCAGTGAACCGATTTTTACTGATCACTGTATCAGTGTCGCTGGCGACTTCCGATAGTGTTAGCGCCCCTCCCAGATAGCGCCAGTTTGCCTGCCAGTACACCAGTAATCCCATTTAACCCCTTGATCGATCAAGGATGTAAATTTCGTTTGGGTACAGAATTGCATGACCGCGCAATTATCATTTGAATTAGTGCAGCGCTGTATAGTACAAAAATTGCAGTATCTATACCATAGTTTGTAGACGCTATAACTTTCACACAAAGCAATCAATATACACTTATTGGGATTTTTTTTTACCAAAAACATGGAGCAGAATACATTTTGGCTTAAATTTATGACTAACTTTGAGTTTACGATATATTTTTTATAGCTGAAAGTAGAAAATATTGTTTTTTTTTCAAAAGTTTTGTGATTTTTTTGTTTATAGTGCAAAAAATAAAAAGCGCACAGGTGATAAAATACCACCAAAAGAAAGCTCTATTTGTGTGAAAAAAAGGACGTAAATTTTGTTTGGGTGCAGCATTGCATGACCGCGCAATTATCATTTGAATTAGTGCAGCGCCAAACAGCAAAAAAAGGCCTGGTCATTAAGGGGGTTAAATCCTCAGGAGCTCAAGTGGTTAATAAAATTAAATACAAATAGGGCTTGCCTGCACTCATAATTAATCACAATCTCCCCCCAAAAAAATTATATTTTGCTACTGTATAATTTAATGTATGTGTTAAAGCAGTGAAGCACTACCCTACACGTGTACAAAATACCAGAACATAGAATATACATATTATGAATTCATGGAATGTACTTCCTCTGCAATTACACCATCAATGTAATTATGGACAAATATAATAAATAAACAAGTAATTCATAAATTATAGTTTCTTAATGTGCAAACGTTTCGTGATTCTTCATCAGGTGCAACAAATCCTTAGTGCTCCCCTCCAGTGGTCCCACTTACTCATCAGCTCTTGAGAACACCCAGTGAGAGGGGTGAAACGTGTCAATGGGAGCCACTGGTGACGTCATTTCCGTTCGGTGGATCGCACTCCGGTGCGCTACTGACGGTCCAGTATTTGAATGCTTTTCTATCTGCTATTACACAAGAGTGGAACACGATTTTAACTCTAATTTTAACTGCTTCCTGTCTGCCCCATGTATATAAACGGCCGGATGGGAGCAGTGCAGGAGCGGATGGCCATTTATAAACGGCCTCCCCGCTTCCCTGGGAGTGCGCAACACCGCTATCCGGTGCCCTCTGTGTCCGGAGGAACACCGAACATTGTACGGAACTGATCATGTGATCACTGATTGGCCATGAACATGAATAGTAGTAAGCAAGATGGCACTTCTGACATCATTGCTTACTACTAGTGAAATCTGTGAATGATCACAGAGATCACACTTTACAAGGCTATTCACAACAGCCTTGTACCATGTGACAAGCTGTGACCAATCACAGCTCACACAGTATTTCTCAGTGGCTGCAAAATTTAGCCAGAGAGAAGGAGAAAGTATTGCTTTTACAGCCTTTACGGGTGTAAAAGCAATCAGTGTAAAGAGAAAATCTTTATCGCCCCCCACAAGTAGTACAGTGTCACTATGGTGACATTGTACTGCTAGGGTGACAGTATGTTAAAAAAAAACATAAAAAATTATATAATAAAATGAAAATGTAAAAAACAAATTTGAAAAATTATAATTTTTGGTTATAAACTAACCAGACCCACAGGAGAACTGCAAATCCCAGATGAACCCATACTGTATATACACAAGCGTGTTAGAAACTCTTGTTCTTATAAGAGTCCACTAGAGCTGGTAAGTAAGTGGGGCCACCGGAGGGGAGCAGTAAGGATTCATTGCACTTAATGAAGAGTTATTGCATGTTTGCACTGTAAAGAATCACCTCATGTTTGCACATTAACCTCCCTGGCGGTATTCCCGAGTGTAGCTCGGGGTAAAATTTCAGCCCCACAAGCGGTAACCCCGAGCTACACTCGGGCTTACCATGCGGTGTTGCTCAGGGAGTCCCTGCAGAGCTTACCTTGTCCTTCGCTCCCGTGATGTGTCCCCTGCAGCATCCCCGGCCATCTCCTCCGGCCCATGCCGGCATCCGGCTTCTGTGTTCCGGTCCCTGTGACGTCGGGATGTACGGGCGCCGGAACCGGCGGCAAATTTGAAATTTTAAAAAAATGGCATTTTTAAAAAAATTATTATTATATAGTAAAACATTGCTGTTTCAATGCATTTTACATACATTTTGTCCCTGTGCTTTGTCCTGTGCCCTGCCTGCATTTTGACTGTTCTTTCTGCCTGGAAACTTAGAAAAGTCCATGGCATTCAAAAAGCGTCTCTTTATGTCAAAAGCGGTTTTAGACCGGCTAGAGAACAGTGATAGTAAATCATAACCACTTGCAGAATTGAGTGATGATGATTTATGGGGAAATTCGTCATCAGACACTGAAAACGATTCTGCGACTTTGCTCAGCGATGTGCGAATTTGCCTCTGTATTTCAAATTTCAGTGTTTTTGGTTTGATTATATTATTGAATTAAATTTATTATTATTATATTATTATTTTTTTTATGATTATTAATTAAATTATATTTTATGATTTCGTGATTCAAGTTTTATCATATCCGGGATGTTTACTAGACTCTTGTTCGGACAGATTTCAGTGAGTTATTCCTAAAAATTACAGCCTACAATAAAAAACTACATATTTCCATGCAAAATAATGGTACCGCTTTCAGCACCAAAAATCGGAAGTAATCATACCGCCAGGAGGTTAAGAGACTATAATTTATGAATTATTTCCTTACCTATTATATTTGTCCATAAATACACTGATGGTGTAATTGCAGAGGAAGTACATTCCATGAATTCATAATATGTATATTCTGAGGTATTTTTCACGTATATAGGGCAGCGCTTTACTGCTTTAATACTTTATCTAGAGGTCAGTACCTTTGTAGAATCAGCAGTTCTATTTTTTGGTATTGTTTGGCACATTTTTCTTCACTTGTTGGTTGTATCTGAGCGACGGTTGTAAGTGGTTACAAATAATTTAATGTATGATAACTTTTATAGTGTATTCTTTTTATTGGCCTGGCACTGTTCTTGACTTCTTGGTGCAGGGCTCTAGGGACCTAAAACCTGAACATATAATAAAACAGCAAAGTTTATTGTCTGTAAAACTGTAACTAACCTTAACGTCCCCCCCACACACACCCACACACACACATAGAAACCCAAAAATTAACCCCCCCCCCCCCATTTTTTTTTAATCTCTATGTAGCCAATTTTTAAATGTATGTTTTCTTTCACAGAAATGTTCTATAGTCCAGTGTTTTTCAATCTTTTTTTATTCAAGGCACCCTTTAGAACTGGGCACAATCTTGAGGCACACCAGTATGAGAGCTCGTTCATAGCAAGGGGTGTGTCTCATTTTTTAACGTTCAGTAAACGTAAGTTGTAACTCTTCTCCCTCCAATTCCCCCTTCAGCAAAAATCGCCCTTCCTAGCATTTCCACCACCCCAATTCCCTCTTCTAGCACAAATCCTCCACCCAATTGACCCTTCTACCACAAACCTCCCCAAATTCCTCCTCTGAGAACAACCCCCCCAATCCCTCTCCTAGCACAACCCCCTCAATTACTCCCTCCAAGCACAAATCCCTCACCAAATCCCCCCTCTTAGCACAACTGCCCCCCATATTCCTCCTCCTGGCACAAATCCCCCCTCCTTGCACAAGTCCACCAACCAAATCCCTTCTCCTAGCACACATTCCTCCCCAAATTCCTTCTTCTAGCACAAATCCCCCACCTAATCCCCCCTCCTAGCACAAATCTCCCCTCCTAGCACAAATCCCCCCTCTTAGCACAACCCTCCGCCATCCCCCCTCCTAGCACAAACCTCCCTGTTCCCATATCCCCACTCCTAGCACAAACCTCGCTTCAACCCCCCCAATCTTCTCAAACCCCCCCCTCAAATCAACCCCATGACATTGTAGGGTTGATTTACTAAAAGCAAATAGACTGTGCACTTTGCAAAGTGCAGTTGCTCCAGAGCTTAGTAAATGAGGTAAAGCTTCACTTTGCAAAGAATACCCAATCACATGCAAGGAAAATTGATTGGATGATGAAAGTCAGCAAAGCTTCTGCTCATTTACTAAACTCTGGAGCACCTGCACTTGCAAAGTGCACATTCTATTTGCCTGTAGTAAATCAACCGCATAGTGTCACACTTTTAATATGGTATAAAATATTAGGTCATGCAACACATACAAATTTCCACATGGCTGTTCTTCAAGTTATACAGTTCTGATGAACACTAAAATTATATGTGTATATATATATTATATTGACAAAAGTATTGGGACACCCCTCCAAATAATTGGATGTAGTTGTTCCAATCACCTCCATGGCCCCAGGTGTATAAATCAAGCCTCTAGGCATGCAGACTGCTTCTACAAACATTGGGGAAAGAATGGTTCGCTCTCAGGAGCTCAGTGAATTTAAGCGTGGTCCCGTGATAGGTTGTCACCTGTGCAATAAGTCCATCCGTGACATTTCCTGGCTACTAAATATTCCACACTCAACTGTTAGTGGTATTATAACAAAGTGGAAGCAACTGGGAACAACAGCAACTCAGCCACCAATTGGTAGGCCACATAAAATGACAGAACAGGGTCAGCGCATGCTGAAGCACACAGTGCACAGAAGTCACCAACTGTCTGCAGAGTCAATAGCTAAAGGCCTCCAAATTTCATGTGGCTTCAGATTAGCACAACAACAGTGTGTAGAGAGCTCCATGGAATGGGTTTCCATGACTGAGCAGCTGCATTCAAGCCTTGGTGATGTACCAAGTGCAATGCAAAGCGTCGGATGCAGTGGTGAAAAGCACACCGCCACTGGACTCTAGAGCAGTGGAGATCTGTTCTCTGGAGTGACGAATCACGCTTCTCTGTCTGGCAATCCGATAGACGTGTCTGGATTGCCAGAAGAATGGTATTTGCCTGACTGCATTGTGCCAAATGTAAAGTTTGGTGGAAGGGGGATTATGGTGTGGGGTTGTTTTTGGGGGGTTGGGCTTGGCCCCTTAGTTCCAATGAAGGGAACTCTTAAGGCGTCAGCATACCAAGACATTTTGGACAATTTCATGCTCCCAACTTTGTGGGAACAGTTCGGGGATGGCCCTTCCTGTTCCAACATGACTGCGTACCAGTGCACAAAGCAAGATCCACAAAGACACGGAGGAGCCAGTTTGGGGTGGAGGAACTTGACTGGCCTGCACAGACTCCTGTCCTCAACCCCATAGAACACCTTTGGGATGAATTGACTGCGAGCCAGGCATTCTCCACCGATATCAGTGCCTGACCTCATAAATGTGCTTCTGGAAGAATGGTCAAACCTTTCCATAGACACACTCCTAAACCTTGTGGACGGCCTTCTCAGAAGAGTTGAAGCTGTTATAGCTGCAAAGGGTGGGCTAACTCAATATTGAACCCTACGAACTAAGACTAGGGGCCATTAAACCAATATAGTGTATATCATTAATACTGGTATACGTAGACTGGATTGGGTTGAGTGGCGATTTTTCTATGTGGTTAGCATGTGAAAAAGGCCTCAGCCTTGCACCTCTCCACAGGTCTGACATGCTTCACCCCACCCATCAGGGCTTAGTCATCGAGGTCCTGTGACCATAAATATCAGTGTTTCTGATATATATATCATTTTAGTGATATCCTTTATCATTTCATTATGCTATACATTACTGAATGGTGATATTTTCAGCCAACACCCCATTCCAGAGTACCAGCAGGACTTTATAAATTCTTGTCTGCTTAGAGTGGCACTACAAGTATTAGCAGGACACCAATACGGGTATTGATGTTTGGAATGTTTTGATGGAGTGATAACTGAAGAACCTGCACTGGTAACCATATCTCTTTTAGTTTGTATGTAAAGTTTATATATGTTCTAAAGCTGTTGAAAGTCTCAATAAAAGTTTATCTAAAAAAAAAAAAAAGTGCGTCATAGGTTGACCATAGCTAACTGTTAGCAGTTTACTTATCTAATCGCTTATTTACATGTGCACAAAGCATTCCCGTGCTAATGCAGTAACAGTCCAATGTCACTGGAATACAATTCAAGCTTCTGGAAGCAGCTTTATTTTCCTTGTAGGAAAAATTGTACATAGACCACCGCTTTGGAGCAAGCTCTTCAAGGCTATTCTTCCAGCCCACCAGGCCAGGTCAACTCTATTGTAATTCACAGCACATCTATCTGGTTGGATAGGTCATGATTGACTGAGATTGCCATGATATGAGGGGGCATTGTGAAACTGCTTCTTTCTGTCCAAGATTACAAAGACAACAGCAGAGTTCCATGGGATACACATTTTTACATATTACTCAGTTCACACTTTTGTGGTGTGAAGTTTTACATGTTCTATTTATCAATATGCGTCATGTTGTATACTAAAAAATTTTTTATTAAAAAAAACAAGGAAAAACAAATGAATATCTGTATAATGTAATGTGACTGGCTCATTGTTTAACAGCTCCAGTCTCTGATGTGAAGTTAGTCAGTGATATAACAGGACTGGTCTGGCCAGGAATAGATGTGGTGTCTCTGATCTGTTCGGCTCATGGTACAGATGTCACTTACTCCTGGAGCCTACAAGGGGAACCACTGCCCCAGGATCCCCGATACTATCTCAGTGGGAACAACAGAATCCTTACAATCATTCCCGTCACTGATGATGACAATGGAACCTTCACCTGTACAGCCTCCAACTGGATAAACAACGAGACCAGCAATGGAGTGATCCTCAATCTGGCCTGTGAGTATTAAATAATGTCTCCCATACAACTTATTATAACTTATTATAACTATGTCTACATGATATTTTTTTACATGCAAGAAAACTGCTGGGTGAAAGGATTCCATAGCCATTTGTTAAACCAAAATGGAAAAAAATTGAATCTACCTTTTAGGGCTCATGTACACGGGGCATTTGGAAAACTCTTCTGAACGATGGAAACTGACTGCTGGAAAATGTAGGTTAAAAAACATTAGTTTAGCATACTGCGTTTATGTGAGTTTGTGTTTAGAAGCGTTTTTAAAAGATAACCTGAGGAGACCTTCCCAAATGCCAAGAATGCACTGAAAAATAGTAGATAATTAACTATTTTCAGACATTTTGAGAGAAATAGAGAGAGCAGAAGCAGAGAGAGCAGTATGTGTTGAGATGACCTGTCTTTTCTGGTTGTATTCACTATGGATCCCATCATGAGCATAATGCGGCACGTTCTACCATTTTTTCCTTCACGCTAAACCTGGAACTGACTGCGGTGCTGTAATGGGTCCATTTGAATACATGGAAAACACTTTGCATGCATTTCTGATGATGAAAAAAGGCTCTGGACAGCATCTGGATATGGAACAGTTAAAAAATGCTTCTAAATGCAAACGCTTGTAAACGCGGTTAACCGCATTTACAAGCATTTACACGCATTTGGTGTTTGAAACACCAGTAAAATCTACTCCTGAACACAAGTTTGGTGCGTTCAAAAAAACGACTGTAAACTCAACTGCCTGTAAACGACTGTAAATGACGATGTGTACATGGACACATAGGAGAACATTAGGGAGAGTTCAGGGGCTGCTGAAAAAAATGCTGAACAGCTCCTGAACATCAGTTTAGGAGGTGCAGTGTACATGAGCCCTAAAGGCGAGACATTTTCGTCAGACCTTTTTTGTTGTCTGTGCACTTTTAGGGAGATTCACACTCTATTTGTCATGTTTACCTTTATCTCCGAAAGTGAAAGAGTCTCAAATTTCGGCATCACGGCTGGCTAGTTTTGGCATCAAAGTACAAGTCTCTACCCCCACTCCAACCTTGCTAGAACACAGTCCTCCTGCTGAGGCTGAACCCTCAGCCATCTTGTGCCCTCCTCTATACCATAGACCTCCTCACGACATCCTTGGCATATAAAATAAAAAAGGAATGTCCACACAATAAGTAACTTCACTGCACTGTACTGGTATTGTCCAGGGAATGGCAAGACAGTCACATCACAAGAACATACAGGGGTTTATTTTACTAAAACCAGAATATCTGGTGCAGCTGTGCACAGTAGCCAATCAGCTTCTAACTTCAGCTTGTTCAGTTAATCTTTGACAATAAATCCTGGAAGCTGATTGGTTTCACTGCAGAGCTGCACCAGATTCTGCACTCCCCAGTTTTAGTAAATCACCACCGTCTGGAGTCATTGGAACTACACAGTCAATCACATAGTGGATGATCTGCAGTAGTCTCAAGTGAAAGCATATGCAGCACCTCACAGTCATGCCCCTACAGTTTCTCCTCCCACCCAGGGTCATTAGTACTCACGGGGCTGGGCTCTCTGTAGTCACCTCTTTGCTAGGTACACGTCTCCCAGGAGCCCTCCAGGTAAGCAGCCTCATACAGGGACCTCCAGCCAGCAATCTCCCCTAGCTCACACCTCCATAAGCAACAGAAAGTCTACATCCAGCTCCTCCTGTATACAGGTCCCCTCTGCAGATTACATGCTGACAGATGTGGGGTGTTTAGCTCTCATACCCCAAGACTGACGGTGTCCCTCCCTCCTAGCTTATATAGTATATAAGTGCTCACCCCTGATATCACCTCTGGGAGGCCTGTACCTAAAAGGGAATAAAGATAGAATATATCCCAAAATCAAAATACAATATAGAAGGGATGTGTATATACAAATAATCCCTATAACTAATCACTCTATATAGTGTAAGGCCCCCAAAACTTGGCCCAACTGTAGTGACCCTAGACAAATCTTGTCTCAGTGTCGTTCTATTCTTAGTGAAGTTGCCCCTAATTAAGTGTGATTAACACTTATAACATGCAAATACAATATAAATAGATAGGTGCTACATTTTCCCAATGTATATGTAACATTTTTATATTTTTATGTTTTTTTTTATATTGTTTTAACATTTTTTTGACCCTTTTTGGAATTTTCTATTACTTTATTTTGGGACAGTTACAAGAGTTGTCATTATATGTGTAGCACACCCGTGGGTGTTAGCAATATATTGTTATATGATGTGGGTTTCACAGCTCTCACCTGGACTGACGACACAGCAGAGTCCAATGAAACACACACTGGCTTTAAGAGATACAATTCCCCTGGGGGATTTATTCCATCTAGAAACAGGGTGCAAATATCACCTATGACTCTAAGCGTAGTGAATCTTAGTAACCATATTGGATAATCATGGATAATCATGTATATTAACTTGTGGACATAAGATGTCCTATACCAAACACATACAGTCAGGTCCATAAATATTGGGACATGGACACAATTCTAACATTTTTGGCTCTATACACCACCACAATGGATTTGAAATGAAACAAACAAGATGTGCTTTAACTGCAGACTGTCAGCTTTAATTTGAGGGTATTTACATCCAAATCAGGTGAACGGTGTAGGAATTACAACAGTTTGCATATGTGCCTCCCACTTGTTAAGGGACCAAAAGTAATGGGACAGAATAATAATCATAAATCAAACTTTCACTTTTTAATACTTGGTTGCAAATCCTTTGCAGTCAATTACAGCCTGAAGTCTGGAACGCATAGACATCACCAGACGCTGGTTTTCATCCCTGGTGATGCTCTGCCAGGCCTCTACTGCAACTGTCTTCAGTTCCTGCTTGTTCTTGGGGCATTTTCCCTTCAGTTTTGTCTTCAGCAAGTGAAATGCATGCTCAATCGGATTCAGATCAGGTGATTGACTTGGCCATTGCAGAACATTCCACTTCTTTCCCTTAAAAAACTCTTTGGTTGCTTTTGCAGTATGCTTTGGGTCATTGTCCATCTGCACTGTGAAGTGGCGTCCAATGAGTTGTGAAGCATTTGGCTGAATATGAGCAGATAATATTCCCCGAAACACTTCAGAATTCATCCGGCTGCTTTTGTCAGCAGTCACATCATCAATAAATACAAGAGAACCAGTTCCATTGGCAGCCATACATGCCCACGCCATGACACTACCACTACCATGCTTCACTGATGAGGTGGTATGCTTAGGATCATGAGCAGTTCCTTTCCTTCTCCATACTCTTCTCTTCCCATCACTCTGGTACAAGTTGATCTTGGTCTCATCTGTCCATAGGATGTTGTTCCAGAACTGTGAAGGCTTTTTTACATGTCGTTTGGCAAACTCTAATCTGGCCTTCCTGTTTTTGAGGCTAACCAATGTTTCCATCTTGTGGTGAACCCTCTGTATTCACTCTGGTGAAGTCTTCTCTTGATTGTTGACTTTGACACACATACACCTACCTCCTGGAGAGTGTTCTTGATCTGGCCAACTGTTAGGGATCCGGGTATGACCAGAGGTGTGTGGACTGACACAGGGAAACGCAGACTTCAGGTATGGTATAATAATAATATTTATTATTAGCTGCACAAATAAACAAACAGTGCAAACAAGCTAACCTTAAGCTAATAGGTAACACAGTGCAAACAAACAAACAAACCAATAGGTACACAGTTCAGTCAGGGCTGGAGAGGTGGAGTGGTCAGGCAGGCCAAGCCCACAGCACGGATTTCCTCAGGGCGCGGGGTCTAAGTCCCAGCCTGCTATTCACTAGGGCCCCTGATGGTGGGGATGGACTTGGTGCAGACTGGAACCAGGTCGCGACCCCTGAGTGCGTCCGGCTGTGGTAGAGAGTGCTGGCAGGTCCAGGTCCGAGCGGGATGGATGGATGACAGTCAGGAGCGACGTGGTCAGACTAGCCGGGTCAGTAACGGTGGGGACAGGCACGGTACAAGCAGCAGACAAGGGTAGTCAGGTCACACGCCGGGTTCAGTAACTCACGGGCAGCACGGTACAGAGGATCAGGCAGAAGGATGGTCAGGGACAGGCCGGGGGTCAGAGCAGGAGAATGTCAGCATGGATCAGAACAGGCAGAGTCGGCAACAAGGAACGTACTACAGGCACACAGGAATCAGGAACAGGAACACAGGTTTACAAGGTACAGGGGCCCATGGAAAAACACACACCAAGGCACAGACTGCAGGTCTGGCCATCCCTTAAATACACCTGCAATCAGCCCCAGGTGATGGCTAATTGCCGAAGTGAACCTCTGGTTGTTGAGAGCACCCGCTGGCCAGCCCTGGTACTGCAGCCCACAAGGCAGGTGAGTCCCACCACTATTGGCAAGTCCATTCCTGACACCAACTGTTGTGAAGGGTGTTTTCTTCACCAGGGAAAGAATTCTCTGTCATCCACCACAGTTGTTTTCCGTGGTCTTCCAAGTCTTTTGGTGTTGCTGAGCTCACCGGTGTGTTCCTTCTTTTTAAGAATGTTCCAAACAGTTGTTTTGGCCACACCTAATGTTTTTGCTATCTCTCTGATGGGTTTGTTTTGTTTTTTCAGCCTAATGATGGCTTGCTTCACTGATAGTGGCAGCTCTTTGGATCTCATCTTGAGAGTTGACAGCAACAGATTCCAAATGCAAATAGCACACTTGAAATGAACTCTGGACCTTTTATCTGCTCATTGTAATTGGGATAATGAGGGAATAACACACACCTGGCCATGGAACAGCTGAGAAGCCAATTGTCCCATTACTTTTGGTCCCTTAACAAGTGGGAGGCACATATGCAAACTGTTGTAATTCCTACACCGTTCACCTGATTTGGATGTAAATACCCTCAAATTAAAGCTGCCAGTCTGCAGTTAAAGCACATCTTGTTTGTTTCATTTCAAATCCATTGTGGTGGTGTATAGAGCCAAAAATGTTAGAATTGTGTCGATGTCCCAATATTTATGGACCTGACTGTATATTAACAAGTATAAATGTTACTGCATAAAATAGTTACCAGCACTTAACTATAATGAGTGCCAGACACTCTCCCTGTTTCCTGATATCTGACCTGAACAAAAGTTCCAAAAATGCAGTCTCTAGATGGGGCCCGTTGGAGCTTTTTTTTAACATAGGTGAACTGTTGCACAGAATGTGGCTGATTTCATCAGAAAATCCTACAAAAATGTCCTTGAAAAATATAGTAACAATCCTGGGTAAATGGCTTGTTCTCACTTAAGCACACATCTCTCATTTAGGGATTTCTCTGTAATTTCACTGTCTCCGATATATGTATTCAGACTTTGCAGACAACCGAGGGAGACAACACACTTTACTAGTCTCTAGTGCTGGTAAAATCAGTACAGCGACTTGGCGGGAAATTCCACTGGGTATCTCTCTCTGTGTCAGTGTGTGTCTCTAAAATGGCAACTCAGCAGAGTACCACCGACCTCGTGGAGGGAGTTGCAGACAGCAGTACTCACGTCCTATATGATCTTTCACTCAGTTCAACTGTTCAGCCTCCTCTCATTCCTCTAGGATCCTGCAGCACTGTCTCTGGTGTCCAACAATGACAACGGGTTCCTCTTTTCGTCAGCCCCTCTACGCTGACCTTTACCTTCCCTCACCAAATTGTCTCTCCCTCTCCTTCCTGTGACCTCCCTCTCCAGACTTCCTGTCCCAAGCCTATCATAGAGCTGAATCTGGAACTGTTGCTAGTGGCATCTTGTGGCCGAATAAGATATTGCATCAAATTCATATACAGTACTATAATGTCTGCAGTTATATTATTGGTAATAAGAGGTTGTTACATATGCATGTTTTTTTTTTATTCACTTCACATGTTCTCTATTGGTTGAATTGCTATACGGAGGGGTTACAATATCTTTTTAAGCACATTTAGCTGCCCACAGCCACATCACCCTGAATGCACCTGATATTGTCTGATCTCTGACACTAAACAGGGCTGGACCTGGTTAGTACCTGGATGGGTGACTGCCTGGGAATACCAGATGCTGTAGGATAAAATTTTTTGCATGGACCAAAATTGAGTTAACCCTCAAGTGGTTCTAATCTTGTACTTATTGCACTATATGAAGTCTATTGTTTGGGCAAATGTAGCGCCTATCTATTTATACTTTATTTGTACCTAAAAGGGGCCTAACACCTAGTGTCACTACCTGCTCTACCAGACACAGACCTGGTACAGAGCCACCTAGGGGCAAAGAGGCTAACTGTACCTGCCTACAGGGTTGTCACCAGAACAAGTGGCTCAACCTGTTTTGGCTACGGGACAGGAAAAGAGGGAAAATCCCCCCAATGGGAATCAGAGAGAAAAAACTCCTTCATTTTGAAATGAAAAAACTAGTTTTGTCTTTAGCTCTACTTTTAATTCTCTGTAAATAAAATATTTAGAGACACCTGTCATGAAAGAAATAATCCTGACCGTGTCATCTCCCGGGATGTCATGCTGATAATCTGGTTTACTTCTCCCGGAACAAATATGCAAATAAAGAACCTCTGACTCTGTTAGATTACATACTTGGGTCAATGACTCAGAGAGTCCAGATAGCATTTTCATACAGAGTGAAGCTTCTGTATTATTCTTATGACTGATGAACTTTGCGGAAGAATCTGACACCCGCCAACCAGTCATGGGACAAAGTCATCCGGTGCACAGGATGAAGATGGCAAACTGCGCATCCCCCCAGCAGGTGTATTGAAAGAGTCGGTGTCATTTCAAAACAAATAAAATTGGACACAACTGATGGGCATGTCCCAGCCATGAATCATTGGCCGGGATCTGCTGACAGGTGGGTGGGGGCATGCGCATGTGCCCGAACCCCTGAAACAGGCAGTGATGTACGGGTACGTCGCGGTGACTGTAGCTGCTGCCCCGTTGCAGTATATGTACTGCGGCACATCAGCGAGTGGTCAATTACCAATGATATTTGTAATACGGAGCTTGAAGAGGGTTAATGTACTGTAATGACGCACTACAGATGTACGGTAAAATCAGTCTGAATATGCAATAAAGCATGTTTGTTATACTCACTGTGGGGCCTAAGGGGTTATTCTTCTGCATTGTGTAAAAAGGCCATTTGATCCTGTTTTCTCTGCTCCTCCTCTTGTTCAAATGTCCACCTGATAAGACAGACTGACCTGTATCCACATGCACATGTTCAGTTTGGTGTGTATTGCTAGAGAGGTTTTTTTTTTTTATTTCTTGGCAGAGTGCATATGATCAGCACAGGGCCAATCAGCACTGTCCAGACAGAGGGTCAGGGGTTTTGCATCCTCCAACAAGCTTTAACCAGTGCTCAGTTGAAGTCACAAGACTGCTATATACTGCTGATGAGAAAAGGGATTTAGCAGTTTATATTTACTAAAATAAAATGCATTTCCATGTTCTGTATATTGTGGGAGACCAGATATAGTGAATGCAGGGTCCAGGGAGAGCAGATATAGTGAATGCAGGGTCCGGGGACACCAGATATAGTGTGAATGCAGGGTCCAGGAGACCATATATAGTGAATGCAGGGTCTGGGGAGACCAGATATTGTGAATGCAGGGTCCATGGAGAGTGGATATAGTGAATGCAGGGTCCTGAGAGACCAGATATAGTGAATGTAGGGTGCAGGGAGACCAGATATAGAGAATGCAGGGTCCAGGGAGACCAGATATACTGAATGCAGGGAGACCAGATATACTGAATGCAGGGTGTGGGGAGACGAGATATAGGGAATGCAGGGTGCAGGGAGACAAGATATAGGGAATGCAGGGTGCAGGGAGATCAGATATAGTGAATGCAGGGTCCTGAGAGACCAGATATAGTGAATTCAGGGTCCTGGGAGACCAGATATAGTGAATGCAGGGTCCGGGGAGACCGGATATAGTGAATGCAGGGTCCGGTGAGAGCGGATATAGTGAATGCAGGGTCCGGGGAGAGCGGATATAGTGAATTCAGGGTCCGGGGAGATCAGATATAGTGAATGCAGGGTACGGGGAGACCAGATATAGTGAATGCAGGGTTCAGGGACACCGGATATAGTGAATGTAGGGTCCGGGGAGACTGGATATGTGAATGCAGGGTCCGGGGAGACCGGATATAGTGAATGCAGGGTCCGGGAAAACCCGGATATAGTGAATGCAGGGTGCTGGGAGACCGGATATAGTGAATGCAGGGTCAGGGGTTTAGTAACACTTTAATGCAAAGAATACATTAAGGTAAAAAAATCTTCTGCCTTTAAAACCAGTTTACGTTTACTTGTATAATACAGATTTCTTGCTTAGTAGGTGAAATAACAGCTCTCTCACTGTTCTGAATTGCAGCTAGGGTCTCGGCGGTGACACTGACCAGTAACACATCGGGATCATACATTGGGTTGGAGAGGACTCCGTGTCTTTATATTGCTCAGCTAATGGATCAGATGTCACTTTTTTGTGGAAACTGAATGGAAAGCCATTGCCCCTGAATTCTCAGTATCAGGCATCACAAGGTGATTCCCCTCCACACTCCAATCTCCTCATCAGCCCTGTCTCAAAGACTGATCTTGGACCTTTCACCTGTGAAGCATCTAACCTGCTCAATTATGTGAACAGCAATGCCCTGAGCCTCAACTTGGCCTGTGAGTAATTGTTCTTCATCTATGTTTTCATAGATATTTATCTTATTAGCAAAATCAGTGTTGCCCAATAGGGGAAAAGGTGTAGAGACCTAAAGTGGATATGATAGTTTTGTTTATAGCAGTGGTTCCCTTAAAACAGGGGTCTCCAAACTATGGCCCTCCAGGTGTTGAGGAACTGCAAGTCCCATGAGGCCTTGCAAGTCTTTGACAGCTTCAGGCAATATTCCCAGAGGCAGAGGCATGATGGGACTTGTAGTACTTCAACAGCTGGAGGGCCATAGTTTGGAGACCCCTGCACAGTGTAAGGCAAGCCAAGTACTCCAAAATCTCCTTGGCTAAAGAAAAACAGACCTGGTCTGTTGCTCAGTGGTCCAAAGTCCTCTTTTCTGATGAGACCCAGAGTATGGAGGAAGAATAGAGAGGCACACACAGCAAGATGCTTGAAGTCCAGTGTGAAGTTTCCACAGTCTGTGTTGATTTGGGGAGCCATGTCATCTGCTGGTGTTGGTCCACTGTGCTTCATTAAGTCCAGGGTCAACACAGCCGTCTACCAGGAGATTTTGGAGCACTTCATGCTTCCTTCCGCAGATGAGCTTTATGGGGATGCTGACTTCATTTTCCAGCAGGACTTGGCACCTGCCCACACTGCCAAAAGCACCAAAACCTGGTTCAATGACCGTGGGATTACTGTGCTTGATTGGCCAGCAAACTCCTCAGGAGTGCCACAGGCTGATAGCTTCCATGCCACGCCGCATTGAGGCAGTAATTGCTGCAAAAGGGGCCCAAACCAAGTACTGAGTACATATGCATGCTTATACTTTTCAGAGGTCCAATATTGTTCTATGTACAATCCTTGTTTTATTGATTGCATGGAATATTCTAATTTTCTGACATTGTGGATTTGGGGTTTTCATGAGCTGTAAGCCATAATCCTCACAATGATGACAAATCACGGCTTGAACTATCTTGCTTTGCATGTAATGAGTCTATCTCATATATTAGTTTCACCTTTTAAGTTGCATTACTGAAATAAATGAACTTTTGCACGATATTCTAATTTTTCGAGTTTCACCTGTATATGCCTATCTATGTGTTTTGTGTACTGTGTGTGCTGCTTTTACTAAGTGATGGATCTTATTCCCTGCTTTGCAGGGACACAAGATCCATCACTTCCCCCTGTCAGAACTGAGCTCTGCCTTGTTAACATAGGCAGAGCTCAGTTCTGTGTCTCTGCCCGACGATCGGCGAGTGCCAGCTAACATCCTTTGGCCGGCACCCACTGATTGGCTTTTCTGCTGTGAGCAATCAGAGTAGAAACAGCCTGCCGGCAGCGAGCATGGACCTTCTAGGCAGTAGTGCATAATCACGTTTTCACAGGAGGGCTGACCTGTAGCAGTATATCAGCAGTATGACAACGGCTACAGACCCTGGGCAGTGTTGTCACCCATAGGCTTAGTATGGGAAATCTGTTGTTGGCTGTCCTTGTGGATGCAGTGTTTTCTTGTGAGACACTTAAATTGCTTTTAGTGCTGCACCTCATTCTCCCAGCCATCATATTGTACTTACACTAAAATACAGTTTTATTTAAAAAATATCACTGACAACATATTTTTTTTTATATATCTCACAGAGTTCAACTTTAAAGTATAACCAAAGGCATTTTTCAGTTTGGATAAAGTAATGGAGGGTTATAACCCATGTCAGATTGTTTTGCCCTCCCATTAGAGAGGTTTCATTTCACTTTCTATCCCATAGCCAAAACAGGAAGTGAGAGGAAATCCTTCAAAAGTGATGGAATCCCTGGCTGTCACCAGAACTAGTGTCCCCATTAGACCATTTCTCTTCTATTACTACTCTGGAGCAAACCAAAATTTGGAATTTTCTTTACCTTTGACTCTCGGTGACAATGGTAAACATGACAAATAGATAGTGTCCCTAATGGAGACACAGACAGCAATATAACCTGGCAGCTGTTCTAATACCTCTCCATTCTATCCAGCACTAAGGAAAAAAAAATGTTGCTTTCGATCATACTTTAAAGCTGGGTATACACTAGTAGAATTTCAAGCAAAAATTTTTACTGACATTTTTAGAAAAATGTGTACCAAAATTTTACAAAAATTCTCAGAAGATTCAAATTTGCGTACAAGTAATTCAAGATTTAACATTCAATTTGGAATGAATGAAATGGAATTTGAAATTTGTACAGTCAATACATTTTTTTCCATCCTTCTCCTGTTAATGTTCTCATCACTGTGGTCAAATACCAAAGTTTGTTTTGACCCCCACTAATGATTAGAAAATAAATGAAAGTTCTTACAAAAAAAATGTCAAATGGAATTCTACTAGTGTATACCCGTCTTAAGACGTCTACCTGAGGCACTCATCTGATGTCAAAGAACTTGTATTAGCATGAGAGGAGACCTGTATGCTTTGTGGTCCTCCAACCATAGGGACCATCCAGGTTATTGTTGGGGACTGCACCCTGAAAAGTGAAAAATGGAATCCCAAAATGCGTAACACATGAAAATTGTCTCTAAATATAAGGGTTTTGAATGGCCAAGTGATATAAATGCTACAGTTAAAGTGTATATCCTACTGTAAGAAAGGGTTGGAGCTGCTATTGGGTTTTTACTGCTATTCAGTGCTTTGTTAGAGAGATTTACCCTCACTCTATGTCCTGCTGACAACATTTTACCAGATAGGAAAATAAGATCTCTCTCCCACAGCAACATAGACAGAGATAAAAATGTGGGTGTTATACAATAAGGGAAGTCAATTTTTATTGTGTTGTCCCTTTTGGAGACTTGCCAGCATTTCTTGTCTGGGAAAACTAGCTGACTTGATATCATTTCACATTTTACAGGGCATCCAGAAGAACCCATGAGTTGCACTGCCGTACCTGTTGGTCAGAATGTTGAGCTTGGCTGTTCCTGGCCAGGAGGACAACCAGAAGCTACAGTGACTTGATCTTCAATGGACTAACGGTTATTGCAGACAACAATGTAACCAGGGTGGTGTCCAAAGGTGGTCATTTCCAAGGATCAAATCTAACCTGCCTTGGAGATCAACTGGGAAGCACTTCTCAATGTTCATTGATATTTGGTGAGATTCAAAGCAAGTAAAACATTTATTGGTCTCCTACAGTTTTTGTTTCTGGTTGTGTACTGGTCTGATCCTGGACTCTGAACAAAACTGATTTTTTAAAGCCTAAGTTTAGGTAAAACCTTAAATAATATACTGTATATACACAAGGAACTGTACTTATATTTAATCCGAAGTGTCCCTTGTGTTGTGCTGGCTGTCGCAGTTGACATAGTTGCCCACATGCCGTACTCTGCAGTTGTGATCTCCTGCCCATTTTCCACTTATAGAGTATATAGGGCATATTTAACCATTTTCTCACTGGGTCATATGAGGTCCTTCAGTTGAAGTGGTTAGACCAGGATGATGCTTGCAGCTGCAGGCATCATCCCAGTATCAAAATTTTCAGCCAGCAATTCTCTTTTATGTAGAAATGATTTGAGTGGCTATATAGATGCTTGATCAATTCCACAGGCAGCAGAAGAGTATCCCCCCACCCCTTCTGCAGCCCATTCCCAATCCCTGTCCCATCGGGAAGCCAGGGACTGCGCCGACCGGCAGCATCCAAGGAACTGCACAGAGGGAGGAACTGCTGTTGTTCCTTTCTATGCGAGATGAAGATTGGTTTGTTTGTTGACAATTCTTTAACAGCTCGTGGAGTGGCAGGTCAAACTGATCTCGGTTTGATCGGCAGCTTTGGAGGCCAGAGGAGAGATCTGGGGGTCTCATAAAAGGACCTGTCATGGTCCATGCTATCACAAGGGATGTTGTTCATCGCTTGTTATAGCAATAAAGCTGATAAAAAAAAATAAAGGTGCAGTGTTAGAAAAAAAAAAAAAGGTTAAAATAAAATAAATAATAAAATAATTTTAAAAAAGTATGCACCCCCATCCCCTTGTACTCATGAACAAGCAAATCAGTCCCACATGCATATGTAAACAGCGATTGCACCCCACATGTGAGGTATCACTGTGAACATCAGAGCAAGAACAATTAATCTAGGGCCAGACCTCCTGTGTAGTTCTAATCTGATAACCTGTAAAGGATAATTTAATGTTTCATAGTTTGTGGCCAATCCACTGGCATGCGCAATTTAGAGACATCTACTGAGCGTGATATAATATTTTATATTTTATTTAAAAATTGGGTATTATATTGTGTTTGTGTTCACTAGAGTTCATTAAAGTTTATTTTATTACAAAAACTGCTGCAAAAAAACTGTGCAATATAAAACATTGCAGCACCCACAAGTTTATTCTGTAG